CATTGGTCTTAAACCATTAACGTTTAATTCATATCTTAATTCTCATATGTTAATTCATATTATGCAGAACAAAAAATATATATATATAAATGGAATCCAAATAATATTCTCAATAACAGAAAAATTTGTTAACCCATTATGAATTTATATTAACTATATGATAAAATCATATAACAATTATAATATCATAGAATTAAATCATAAAGCAATAAATTTAGGTGAATAATTTTATAAAAACCTATAAAATATTTTATAAATAGTTTTATCAAGCATTATATATAAATATATGATTGATAAATGTCATTGATGTCATCGGTTTATTTTTCATAGAGATCTATATATATACTCATCACATCACATCCTACATATTTGGATCTTAACAGTAAATATATTATTAGTATCTTATAACATGTATAAATTTTCATTTTATATAATATCATTTTTTAACATTGAAAAGTATAGGTAGAAGATTTCTATTTTCTTTGCAATATTTTAAAACTATGTTTACAAAATAAATATGTTTGTATTTTTTTTCTTTGGTATGTTTGTATAAAATTTAGAGAAATTTCAAAAAATGTCATTTTTCAAGTGCCACTTTACAAAAATGCCACACTTTTGAAATCTTTACAAAAATGCCACTTTTTCAAAATTATTATTTCCTTATATTATTTATGTTTAGGTTAATTATGTTCTATTATGGTTTAGTTTTGAGTGTTTAGGAGGTTTTWGMTMTCAAAACATTTTTTAGGYTTTAGAATTTTAAGATATAGGCTTTATAAATCTATAATTAGTGGCATTTTTGTAAATAGACACCCCTAAGTGGTATTCTTGCAAATGTGCACACAAAAAGTGGCATTTTTGTAATTGTCCCTAAAATTTAACATTGAGATTTCCATATTCTTTCTAATTCTTTTATTTTTCAATTGATAAATTTTTTTTGTTTTTTATCATTCATATTTTTTTTCTTAACTAAAATTTCTATTTCCTCTCTACTTTTTTTTTTATTGTTTATAATCTCTCTATATATAATACTTGACAATTATTTTATTCGTTTTCTAGTTTTAGTTTTAATTTTTAATTAATTTTAAGTTTTAACACATGTCATCATCTGATCAATATTGTACACATGTCATGATTTGGTGTATTATAATTTTGTTTACGTCTTAAACTCTCGTCGATAATATTTTTCTTACTTGATTTTTTATGGTTTACAGTCTCTATTTTTTTTTCTTAATTTATTTTATAATTAGTTTAAACTATTAGATTTTTTAATCTAGCTAGTGGGGAGCATTATAAAATTTTCTTGTCTCATAATTAGTTTGAAAAATATATAAATTTATTTTTTACTATTTGATTAGTTATTTGAAAATTAGTTTGTTCGTAATCTATTTTTAATTAGTTTTAAGTGTTAACACATGTTATCATCTGATTAATATTTGACACATCTCACGATCTGGTGACTTATAATTTTGCATACGTATTGCGTTCTCATCATGTGCATTCTCTTTTATATAATAAGATAATGTTGAAAATGTATATTAGAATACTACATTTTGTATGGTTTCAAATTTGAAGGAAAACTTGGTTTAAAATTAATAATAGCATCATTTCAAATATTATAGAGTTCTGTTTTTTCACTAAACAAAAATATATAAAACAAACAATTGTAAATGCATGTATATACATTTCCAATAAGAAACTATGCATTTCGGTTCACTACATAAAATGCCAAGTCACATTATGATCATAAAAATAGTTAAAATTTTTTGGTAAAATACTGACCATTTTCCGACACGTATACGGAAATATCGGAATATGGCTGAAAATTTTCAATTAATCTATGGGGTCAGCAAGTGGTCGGAAAATTTCTTCCATATTTTAACCAAATTAGTATTGTCAGAACAATGGTCGGAATAAAGTAGATCAAAATATTTGAAAATATATCCATTTATAAACGTTTATATTTCCAACCAAATTAGTATCGTCACAAGGATGGCTGGAAGCATGTCAAAAAGTGGACGAAAAATATTTGAAATGGAACTGTTTATAACCGTTTTGAATTGTGATCAGAAAATATTCAGATTGTTTTTGAAATGACAAATTCATTTTTTCTATATAAGTCACTTATCTCATTTGTAAAGAATTGGAAAATAATTGCTAACAAAAAGGAAGAAGATAAAAGGCTCTGAAATCACATAAGTGTTTAACCTTTTTATTATTGCCAATCAAAACCTATGTTTTTAAAACAATATGCAAATGAGTGGTTCCAATCCAGATAAAAATGTAACAACTACACTAGCGGATCGGAGACCACTAAACAATCTATTTTGGTCATGATAATTTTATTGGAGATGTGTGTACTAGAATATATAATTGTCTCACATCGAAAAATGAGAAATTTATTTGTAGAGTAAA